CCCCTTTTTCTCTCATTCTCTGTCCCTCTCATTCTTTCCTCCTCCTCTGCTCTTCTATCCTCCTCTTCTTCTCTTCTTCTGTTCTCTTCTTCTCTCCTCTCCTGCTCTCCTTTTATCGTTCTCCCCTACTCTAGACTATGTGTGTCCTCTCTACTACCTTTTCGCCTTCTCTCTGGTCTTAATTCCTTCTTGACGTATTATAAAGAACATTGGTACTGAGCTAGAGATTTCAGACTGTAGTCATTTCACACGACCTTCTCCTTTGTACGTTCATAGCTGCGAACCAATACATAAAGAAATAAATAATTACAGACTTCAACAGAAGTTAAGCACTGATTTTTTTTATCCGAAAAAGAAACAGCAAGGAATGTTTCAAATGTTTTTGCTCTGAAAGTGTTAATGGGTTACTAATGCGTACTGCAAAGCTTCCCAAAGGGGCAAAACCACCAAATGCAGCACGGAAATCCTTGGGGAATTTTAGCCAAATTTGTGTTTTTTTATCGATTTGTGTGCAACGCCACGGCTATTCCTCAGGTAAAATTTCTGGTGCACCTCATAAACGGATGTACAGTCTTGAACCGTGCTCACTTTGGGGGCAATATAAGCCGCCGTTTGCGCAAAATCCAGTATCGCATCAATATGAAACCGAGACGAAAGCTGAGAGACTTTGATCGTGCCAGAGCTGTGGCATGGCTGCAGGATGGAGTTGGAGCCCGAGACGTTGCCAGAAGGCTTGCAGTGTCACACTCTCTCATTTTCCGCTTGAGGCAGCGCCATCAAGCCAGTGGATCAGTCTGAGAACGCCCAGGTGCAGGTCGACCCAAGAAGACCACTCAGAGTGTTTGCAAGTGGTCTTTAGCTTTGTTGAAGTCTGTAATGTGTTATTGAGGGCCTGGTAAGCACGGTTTTCGGTCGGAAAATACGTGTTCTCTGTTTTCCAGTGTTGCTCCTCGGGATTATCGATGCTGAAGAACCATTGTGAATTTTCAAAACAGGATTTGCGAATAACAATAATGAAAACGAAACCCTTAAGTCAATTGCTGAGCTCTTTAAATTTCTGGCATCATAGTTGCAGGTCTGCTTGGAATAGTTTGAACGCATTGCATGCAGAAAAAGTGTGTATGAAGGGTCTGTACGAAGGTGGGAGGGGTTGAGGTTACTGTCCAATGTCCACCATCTTGA